AAATCCTAATGAAATACAGAGTTGATCATGGTTGGATTTCAGTCATATCATGTCCCAACACCTGTGCCTTCACCAGTGTACATTGCTCACCACCAATGTTCCCAGTCTCCCTACGCCCCCAGGCAGGCAAGGCACCTCTCTCTCCCTCCTCCTTTCTGCAGTGCTCTCTCCATTCCCTCTCTCCCTCTCTCCTCTCTCCCCCTCTCCCTGACACACGCCTTTTGGTTTACAATGCAGGGGGACCTTATGGGGTGCCGGGATTCGACCCCGAGTCTTCTGCACGCCAAGCAAGTGCCCTGTCTGCTGTAGTGTCTCTGGCTCCCACACGCTTCTTTTAAAGAATCAAGAAATTGGGGGCAGAGAGGCAGCACAGGGGTCTGCGCCACATGGTCCCCAAGCACTGCTGCAGCTGGGATGGCCCCCGCGACTCGCCCGCCCAGGCTACAGCAGGGGCTGCAGGCGGGCCCCAGCCCAGAGGGCCCAGGTCACCAAGGTCTCTGTGACCCCCATGCGGAAGCAGAAGCGCCCCCAGCTCTGACCCCAGGGCCCCATGTCCCCTCATCTCCCACTGTCCCGCTAGGGGCGCTGGGGGTGCCCCACTGAGCCAGGGCACAGGCCGCGGAGACTCAGCGCTCCCCGAGGGCTGTATAGACCCCCAGCAGAGCCGGGCACAGCACTGCCTCTGCTCCCTCCTAGGGACCCTCCCGGGAAGCTGGGGGCGGGGGGACGAGGGCGCCCTGGCGTCATCTCCCCTGCACTGCCAGCTGACCTTGCGAGGGCATGTTCCCCCCACCCTTGCCCCGGCTCCTGGGAGCAGTCTCAGGGGGTCCTCGGGTTCCCCTGGCCATCGCTGGGTCCTGCCCAGTGAGGGACCGACCTGCAGCACCAGCAGGCAGATGAGCGGCTTGCCCCGCCCTCTGCTGGCCGCCGTGCGAACTGCAAGGTGCCGGGCCCTGCCTGGGGGGGTCCCGCCCACCCGCACTCAGCAGCGCCTCGCTCAGGCCCGCATCCCCGCGTCCCGGGGGTTCCCTGCCCTCCCCTCGGGGAACGGCCCGTGGCTGCGGAGCCGCAGGAGGGGGCGCTGCCCGCGCAGCGGTCCCTGGGGGGCCTCCGGCCTGATGCCCGAGCTCCGTGGCGCCAGGTTGGTTGGCGGGGGGCCGGAGCAGGGCTGGCGACTCCCGGCGGGCGACCCCCGGCGCCCTTCTCCCCGCGCGGGGTGGACCCCAGCCCCCGGCGCCCAGCGAGGCGCACCCCGAGGCCACGTGACCGGCTTTCCTGGGGGCAGCGGCGGGCGGGCCGCAGGGCTCGCGAGTCCTGGGGTGCGGGCGCGGTCCCCCGGCGCGGGGGTCTGAGTCCAGAGGCGTCTGTCGGCGGGGCCTGGGCGGCGGGGGGCGGTGGCGAAAGGACTGGACGGCGGCCTCGGCGTCCGGCCCCTTGGGCGGGGCAGGCGGGCGGGCGTGGGCCCCTGGCGTGTGGCGCGGGATCCGGGTCTGGTGGGGGTGTTGGGCTCAGGCTTCCGGCTCCGCGTCTCCCTCATCGGGGGAGCCCGTCTCCGCGCGGCCAAGGAGATGGGGGTCAGTGGCGCGTGGGCGGCCCGCACCTGCCGGCAGGGGGCTGTCCCGCTGCAGCGGCCCGCCCCAGACTCACCACGCACCCCTACGCCTGCTCAGGGGCACCCTCCACTCCAGGTGGAAAAACCCCCAGCCAACTGAGCCTCCTAGGACCCGCTGACCAAAGACTGCGGGTCGAAGGCCCTGAGGGTCCTCACGGCCCCTGGGGCCTCGACTTCCGTTCCTGTGCCAGAAATCAACCCAGAGGGGCTGTGTGTGTGTGTGGCATCACGCCCAGCCGCTGCCAGGCACAGCCCTGGTGGCCACAGGGCCACGGACTGGCCCCACAGCAGAAAATCACCAAGATCAGCCCCACAGCCCCTGGGGCACTGCTTATGACTGTCCCCACAAAAGGAAGCAACTTAAGAAGTTATCCTTCAGAGCAACTGGTAAAAAACAAACCGGAAACACCCCCATAATCATGAAAGAGCAGGAAAACGCTTTGTTGTGTGGAAATGCCTCCATGTGTGGTCCTGTTCTGCTTCCATGGCCGCTGTCACTGAGCCACGCATTCACCACTGCAGTGACATACACACTAACACACACACACACACACACACACACCATCACAATCCACTCTGCGATAACCAGCTTGGCACACTGGACAGACAGCACTGTCTGGACTCGGCCAGCACTCAGCTGCTGCAGGGCTCTGTGTCCGCAGATAGACCCCATGCAGTTAGCTGCATCCCTGTCCTTCCAGAACGGGGCTCTATCCCCAGGGCTGTTTCCCCAGCCCCCGCCCAGGGACACTCCTGAAGGAGCCGGAGTTACCCCTCTTGCGGCCTGGGACTCCCTGTTCTGAAGAAAAGACACAATCACACTGTGGGAAACTTCTCAGACTGTATCCCAGCAGGAGCTACTCCCGGCTCAGTGCTCACTGGATGAGACAGGAGCGCGGATGGAACCGAGTGCTGGCTGTGCACCTGGCACTAGCCCCGTGAGCTTTCCTAGCCACCACTCAGATCTGAAATGCTACAGAATCTAACATCTGGGGCCAAAGCCCCATGACCTCGGACCCAGGCACCCCTCAGAAACGCTCTATTCCTCACGCCTCCCTGGGCGGCCCGAGCAGCGGGGCTGCACACCGCATGGCCCTCTGCACAAGGCCTTCGCCTCAGTTTCCCCGATGATGTCCTGGCTCAAGCTCACTTTAACCTTGGGCTGAAAGTCAGTGCCTGACATTTTCAAGTATTCTGACTTACACACAAAGGCCGCACCTTCGAAAACAGACACTTTTGAGATTGATTTTACTCAGCTAACCTATTAGTAAATGATGTCACTTCACTTACTGTTCTGGATGCCATAGATTTCATGTTCCTAGGAAAGAACATATACAAATGGTGAACAGAACCCCTAAAGCTTAGCAGCCGACCCTAACTCAGACATCACTGCAGGCAGCCAACCCGGGTTGGATTGCCGGCCTCCCACACCGTCCCCAAACACCACCAAGAGTCATTCCTGAGTGCAGAGCTAGGGGTAAGTCTGAGCACTGCCAGGGGTGGCCCAAACAAAACAGACCAACAACAAAAACTCAGGTGTTCTAACACTCCCACTCCAAAGCACAGTAGACTTTAGTGTTGAGTCAGAGAATGCAGGGGTTACGGTACATGCCTGACACATGACTGCCAACTTCGCCCCCTGGCACCACAAGGGTCTCAAGCATTGCCATGTGCATCCCAAGAGAGGCCTGGGATATCCCTGCCACCAGAGCGCCAAGCCTCATCGAACTGCTAAGAATCACCAGCAGGAGGTGCCCCGGGGCAGTGCTCAGGAGACCCGGGGCCAGGGAGATAGTACAGTGGGTAAGGTGCTTGCTTTGCATTCAGCTGACCCGGGGTTCTATCCCCAGCATCACATACTGTCCACTGAGCACTGCCAGGAGTGATCCTAAGTGCAAAGCCAGGTGTAAGTCCTGAGCACTGCCTGGCACAAGCCCCCAAATAAAATTCAAAACCACTTTAGGATAAAAATTTAGATTCCCCAAAGCCAGGTGTATAAATTCAGGCTGAAGTAACCAATCCTGTGTCTGAAAAACTTGGAACCACATGAAGTAACAATCAGAAGACATGCCGCTCCGTCAAGGAGAAGAGGGGGGTGCACACCCACCCTTGAAAGGTCCACTGAAGGCTCCTATGCTGCCCGAGCCCCTGAGCTGCTTGTGCCCATGTAGCCGAGCAAATGCGGTGCCCGCAGCTCTCCTTGAGATGGGGACTTTTGTGCTTTCCTTTCTAATGTTGGGATGTGTGTAGGGGCTCTCTCTGTCTTTCGAGAAGCCCACGGTCTCTCCTGAAATGTTACTCTCTCTACGCTCATCCTCTTCCTAAAGGTCACCAAATAAAATGTTTTTTTTTTTACTTCAAATAAATAAACAAAAGGTCCACAGAAGATAAAACATTTACCACTCATAACAGCGTCAGTGATTCTAAAAACCAGACAGCTCTGCACACCACTTACTCCAGAAGTGGAACATCATATTACTCTTGCTAGAGTCCAGAATGACAGTTTCAAAAAAAGTAATAATAACCAAAACCTTTTTACCTTTAGAAGTGAGTACTGTGCAATCAAGTCAAAAGGTCCTGTGAGATACTCATCCCAAACTATTGCCTGCGGGAGGGAGAAGCATCCCATTCTTTTAGTAAAAGCGATTTTAGTAACGGCCAACAGCAAACAACAGTCATTTGCAAACTCTGGACAAACAAAACTTGCAGTTAGCAATAGCTGACCACACTCATATTCCGTGGCCTGATGAAAAACAGCGTCAGGGCAAGGGGTGCTACTGGCCACGGAAGCACATTCACTGTCATCCACAAAGAGTGTGTATGCAGTGTCCTGGGGTCAGACTGAGGTCATGAACCCCGTGGGTGAACTGCCAAGGAAACCGTTCAACCCAGCATGTAACAGGCGTCATATAATCCAGCATCAATCAAATGAAAACCTCTCGTGTAGGTATCCCATAGGTATCTTAATTCTGAGAGAGTATTTGGAAAGTTGGGACAGTGTCATGTGCCCCTGAGAGAGTCAGGCCTCCAGCTGACCTTCGCCTCTACCTAGGCAAGAATGGTGTCACTGGGGGCCAGGACGAATGCCAAGCGGCCTGTGAGCATTTCGCCTGTGCGACAACAGGGTCCTTTTTCCTCATTTGGAGTAACTGATTGCGCGAACCGTGGAGGAACAGGCAGCTGGGAGAAGTGGTACCCAGGGTAAGCATGCAGCGCCACCCCGCACACGGGGTGTGCCTGGACGCGGGGCTGTAATCGTCCTGCTGAGAAGGACTCAGGTCACTCCCATTTTCCTTCCCAGAGCCAGGCCACAGGGGCGGGGAGCACAACGCCCCCTCTCTCGGGGCTGCCGACTCTGGGTGGCGCCCCCAGACCCAGAGGCCGCCACCCGCCCCGGCTGTCAGCTTGCTGCCCGCGCACATGTCCAGGAACTCGCACAGCACGTTCAGGTTCACCTGCCTGAAGACAGGTGCGCGGCCTTGGCTCCGCTGGGCCCCGCCGCCACGTGACGCCACGGTCACGGAAAATAGTGACATCACACCCCCTCATCTCCCTCCATACCGCTAGGGGCGCTGGGGGTGCCCCACGGAGCCAGGGCACAGGCCGCCGAGACTCAGCGCTTCCCGGGGGCTGTACTGATCCCCCAGACCCCCCAGCAGAGCCGGGGCACAGCGCTGCTTCTACTTCCTCCGAGGGACCCTCCCGGAAGCTGGGGACGAGGGGACGAGGGCGCCCTGGCGTCATCTCCCCTGCACTGCCAGCTGGCCTTGCGAGGGCATGTTCCCCCCAGAACCACCCCGGCTCCTGGGAGCGGACTCAGGGGGTCCTTGGGTTCCCCTGGCCATCGCCGGGTCCTGCCCAGTGAGGGACCGACCAGCAGCCACAGCAGGCCCGTGAGCGGCTCGCGGCGCCCTCTGCTGGCCGCCGTGGGAACTGCACTGGTGCCGGGCCCTGCCTGGCGCGGTGTCCCGCCCACCCGCACCCAGCAGCGCCTCGCTCAGGCCCGCGTCCCCGCGTCCCAGGGGTTCCCTGCTCGCCCCCCCCTCGGGGGCCGGCCCGTGGCTGCGGAGCCGCAGGAGGGGGCGCTGCCGGCGCAGCGGTCCCTACGGGGCCTCCGGCCGGATGCCCGAGTTCCGTGGCGCCAGGTTGGTTGGCAGGGGCCGGAGCAGTGCTGGCGACACCCGGCGGGCGACCCCCAGCGCCCGTCTCCCCGCGCAGGGCGGACCCCAGACCCTGGCGCCCAGGAGGCGCACCCTGAGGCCACGTGACCTACTTTAGTGGGGGCAGTGGCGGGCGGGCCGCGGGGAGTGCAGAGCACGGGAGTCCTGGGGCCCTGGCGCGGCCCCCAGGCACGGGGGTCTCTGTCCGGCCCCTCGGGCGGGGCGGGCGGGGGCCCCTGGACTGTGGAGTTGGGTCCGGGTCCAGCCGCGGCGTCGGGCTCAGGCTCCCTCCTCTGTGGGCGCCCGGCTCCACGCGGTCTAGGAGATGGGGATCAGCAGCAGCCCAGGGGGCCCACACTTGCCGCAGGGGGCTGTCCCCTCTGCAGCGCACCCACCCCAGACTCACCACGCACCCCCTCGCCTGCTCGGGGGCGCCCTCAATCCAGGTGGGAAAATCCCCAGCCCACTGAGCCTCCTAGGGCCCCCCTGCGACGGACTACTGGTCACAGGCCCTGAAGGTCCTCATGGCCCCTGGGGCCTCGACTTCCCTTCCTGTACCAGAAATCAAACCAGAGAGAGGCCAGTGCACAACTTCCCTAGAACTGATGCTCAATGGCTCCCAGGACTATTGTGGGGGGAGGGGCCCAGGCTTTGATGCTTGCAGAAGTTTAGTAAAATTTTACTGACTGAGGGAGAAAAAGTTTGCCTGTGTGTACATGCCAGAACCAGCGTATCATTGTGTCCATTTGAATTTAAAGAAACAAGTTAATAACTTTGGGAGATGGAGAACAGAAAGAAAAAAAGAACTTGTTGCAGCCCCACCCCACACCCCCCAAAAAAGAATTCTTTTAAACACCTAATCCCAGGAAGAAGTACTATTTCTTGAATAAATTATTACCAAGCAATGACAACAATTAAAACACACACAAAAGGACGTGTGTGGGGGAGCACAGGGTGGGGACGGACGTTCAGTCAAGACTGGGCAATGCCACAGCCTGGAAAGGACATGAGAGGGGACAGAAGTGTGGCTCGTGGGATGCATATTGGGAGAGAGACAGAGGTGCGTGTGAAGTGGGGGATCTCATTAAAGTCTGGGGTCCAGGACAGCAGTGGATGTTCGTGTCCTACTCAGTGGTTCGAATCTGTGTGCCTTGGGGATGGAGGGAATGTGCACCCCTGGGAGAAGCTGGGAGGGCCACTGGGTATTCCCTCCAACCCACCTTGCGGCAATGGGTCATGCATGTTTAGATCACATGCTCTGGGCCATAGCACCAGTGATGCGGGCAGGTGACACATTGAATGAGGCTTAACTTACAGCAACAAGCCGAGTCTCTCTGGTCCCCGTGTGAGTGGGTGAACGAAGAGCATGTTCCGAGGGTCAGATGCCTCCGAAAACTGAAAGGAGGAATCGGAGACTGAGGCCCACGTTAGAAATGGCAGAATGTATGTCTGGTTAGTGAGACCCAAGATACCCGCACACACATTACAGAATTCTCATGGGTTTACGGCAAACGGGAATTCTCACAGAGATGAAAAGAGAAGTGTGTATTTCTCTCAGCGCCTGGCTCACACTTACACTCCAGATCATTAAATAGAAAGCAAAGAATCTGAGACTAACAGAGATCTCCTGAATTCAACACCCAAGGGCTGGAAATACACCGGAAAGGGTGGACTTCTGTGCAGTTAAGCTATTACATGAGCAACACCTCGCTAGGGAATAGGATCTTGTTTAGGTGGAAATAAGAGCGTTTTAGTGGAAAGGAAATCTCTGATGCGACCCTGTGGGTCAGGAATCTTGACTTTCCTATGGCATGTGTTTGGGGCTGGGCTGGGGTCTACGCTTCACAGACAGGAGAGCTGGGTTGGTCCCCAGCACTGCATGGTCTCTGGAGGCAGGAATGACTGAAGAGCACTGTGTCCCCAAAGCAAAACAAAACAAACTTACTTGGCAACTGATCCCACCATAAGATTATTTTAAGAGTTCCTTCCTCTAAATCTAACACATACTTAGAAAGTCTGATTTTAAATGTTTATTCAAAGTGAAGGGGTTTAAGGAGGATGCGCAGAGTCTCCTGCCCCCACGCCGGGCTGTACTCGCCGGGACCCCTTGGAGGGGAGCAGGTTGAGTTTCCCTCCGCACCCCGACCAGGGCTCCGGCAGGTGAAGACCTCCACAACCAGCCACCACCATCCTGAGACCACTCTCCACAGGCATGAAGGTACTGGCAGAGGAACAAAGGCATGCGTGTCCTGGGGCTGAGATCTCCAAGCCTGCTCAGATTGGGGCTGAGCATCCTCCACTCAGATCCTCCATATTCCTGTAGGCAGGGGTTACACCCACCAACTGCCCCCCTTGTGCCCTGTAATCCCATCAACGGCCAAGACCCAGAGACTATAAAACCCAGTTCCCGGAAGCATCTTATTATCTCATTCTTTCTTTGGACAAACTGGCAGGCTACCGAATGTAACCTGCCGACACGACAGAGTCTGGCAAACTCCCCGTGGCTTACCCAATATGCCAAATACCAGTAACAATGAAGAGGCTCATTACACTAACCCTGAAAGAGCCTTGAATATGGCACTTTTTAAAAAATTCTCAGGGCTAGGTCAAAGGAGACATTACTGGGGCCTGTTCGAGGCAATCGACGAACAACAGGATGGTTGTGATCGTGATCGTGAGCAGATTCCAATTTTTTTGGGGGGAGGGGGTCAGACGAGAGATCTCTGGGGATCCTCCTGGTTGTGCACTCAGGAAGTACTCCTGGCAGTGCTTGGGGGACCATATGGGATGCCAAGGATCGAACCCAAGTTGGCCGTGTGCAAGGCAAACACTCTCCACGCTGGAATGTCGCTCCAGTCCCACATTCCCATTCTTTCATCAGGACTATCCAAATAGCCTGAGCCATCAGCTCTGAGACAGGAGGAGAGGGCAACTTCCTTGGCGTGTTCCTGACACAAGCCTGGAACATTGCACAATCACCTGGCAGCCTTTCCTCGAGTGGGCACGTGTGGCGACCCCTACATGGACACGGCCAAACAGACCCCGGCAGCTGCTCCTGCTGACCAGTCCTCACGGCTTATTCCTTTAGTCTCTTCTCAGCTCTGATTTCTACTGTGCAATCCACAAGTGGCTGGAGGACATCGGGCCTCTTTACCGATGCCCGAGTCACAAATACGTGGGCCCCTTTAAAGCCACACGCTTTAGATTTGGTGTCATGAGCAACAGAAGAGGGAGGAGAGCCGGAAGGGAGGTGTCCGGGGCCAGAAACCTTTCCAAAGGGATCACACTATCCAGATTCTTTCTTTACGACTTTCATAAGAAATAAATCTCAGTCATGATGCAAATGCCTTAAAGTGTTACTTGGCAGCCTTTCAAAATGCAAAAAAACAAGAACCAAATATTAGAAACTAAAAAAATATATGAAATTTATTATAACGTGGATAGAGTTTATTTAGTCTTTCCATCAACGACACAAAGATAGAGCAAAGGAAGCAGGAGTGGGAGGAAAAAGAGAGGGTGAGGTGAGCACAGCAGCGCGCGAGCGCAGAGACAGCCAGACATCAGCACCCACAGTGAGCTCAAGACCGCGGAGGCTGCCTCCCGGACACGCAGAGTTCCTGACCAAAGCCCGCACCTGACATTCTGGTTCTGGTATCTGTCCTTGGCCATAAGGGAAGTGGGGTGCGCCGAACAGGACCACCCCGCCCCCGCTCTGGGCTTTAGCAGTGGTCGGAGCAGGGCAGGACTGGCCCTGCCTTCCGCAGCTGGACCTGTTTTCAACCTGTCTGAAAACCTAACTTGGAGACAAGCTCCCGAAAGAAACGCTGACTTTCACAAAGTGCAGAGACACACCTTTGGCACACATCGCGTGCAGCTAAGCTGGAGATAACTACAGTCTGGGGAAAACCCGCAGCAAACCCAGGGGCTGGGTGAGTGTAGGCGACGTCCTCGCTCAGAGGCAGCAGTTCTGCGCCTCCATGTGGGAGCCCAGGATGGAGAGAGCCTCCGCCATCAGGACTGCACGCCAACAAGGCCCTTGGGGGCAGGCAGCGGTTTCTGCATGAACCCAGGGAAACTGGACCTAAACCCATCTAGGCTTTCAACCTGAGAGCAGAGCAAATTCCTTTTAGCAATTGATCTACCATCACACTCAGACCTACATCTGAATCCTTTACAATCTCTACCTGGTGATGAAGATCCTGGGATTAGCTACAATTGAGTTGTCTTCAGATTTCTGAATCAGACACAGCTTGCCATGATTAATGAGAAGAAACAGTTCAATATTTGTTTTAAAA